CAGAGATTGGGGGATAAATTTTGGGTAGGGGTCAAAAGAAAAAAATTTAAAAGGTGAATACGGGAAAGAGAAAGGGTTTAAAGGGGATAACAAAAATTAGGGATGAAAGATTGAATATCAGATTGGGGGGAAGAGTATGGAGAGGGGAACATTCAATATTGGAGGGACGGTCCCGGATGGGTCTATGAAAGATGAGGGGAATCATAGAATTGAGAGGGGAAAAAGAGTGAGTGGCCTTAGGGGCTGTGGAACAAAGAACTTTGTCCTTGGGGGGCAAAGAGGGGGAAAGATGAAGGGATAGTTTTCCAACGCTCTTTAAAGGGTGTGAAGCGTGGTGATGAATGTTGCAGCGGGAGAAGGCTGGGGGCATGGAATTTTTCATTCTGAGGGCAATGTGTGGGGTGAATATAAGAAGGGAAATTTGTATTTGGAAGTTAAGGAGGTGCGGGTTACCAAAACTGTTTTTCCGAGGGTGAGGAAGGGTTGTTGAGGTGTTTGGACATGTAAGGAATGGAGCGAAAAAGAAGACTTCAAGAGTGTATCAGTCGTAGGGAAGGAAGGCGGGGTAGGGGTCGGCCCAGGGAAAGGGTGGAGGGAGGGGGAAGGGGTTTTTTGTGGGGGGCTTGGGTTCCAGCAGGCATGCGTGAGCGTGTTTGATAGGAGTAATGGAACAAAAAGGTTTTTTAAAACTTGACGTGCTGTTGGGGTGTGAGCAAAGTAACATTTATGAAGGATTCAGGGAAACCGCAGGGGCCGGACTTGAGTCCTGGAGATGGGAAGTACAGTGCCTGCACTCTGAAGGAGGGGTGTTAATGTTGCAGTTTAAAAACTGTAGTGTAAAGCACCCTTCTGGCAAGACAGTGATGGAGTGAATGATGGTGAAAGTTTTTCTTTTTCGGGCCACCCTGCCTTGGTGGGAATCGGCCAGTGTGATAATAAATAATAAAAATTATTAACATGTATGTTATTAAATACCATTGCCTCAATCACTGCCTCTACCACTCCAGTCACACTCAATCTACAAGCACCAAACACAATGAATTATTGTGAAATGTTTGGAAGAGCTGGGAGACTAACGTTCACTCCAGCATAAACAAAGTCACTCTGACGATGTGTTAACCACTCCCTCGTATTTTTGTACAATTTCCTTCTTCAATTATATCATATTTATTATTATTATTATTATTACTATTGTTATTATTAGCTGTAGCAGAAATGTTTAATTCTTTGCTGTGTTCAAGAGTAAACACATGATGTCACCGTCTAATACCTGTCTGAATAGCAATTCCAATATGCAGTCATGAATGGGTTTACATTATTTATACTGTAGTTTAATAGCAAATAATGAACAAACAAAACACTCACCACACTGAGTGGTGGGAGGGCTGGCTGCCAGTTGTGGGGGTTGGAGGGAGGGTAGTAGGGACTCGCAGGTGGCGGGAAACTTAAATACATGTATGATTTGGCGGCTGGGAATTTGGTGGCTGGGAATTTGGTGGTTGGGAATTTGCGAATGTGTGGAGCCCGTGAAAGTTGAAAACGTGAATGTTGAGGGAGACCTGTACTTGGGAGATGACGTGTCGGTGGATGGATTTATGAAGGATGAGGTTAATCTTAGAATTGATGAGGGAAAAAAGGTGAGTGGTGCGTTGAGGTATATGTGGAGACAAAAACGTTATCTATGGAGGCAAAGAAGGGAATGTATGAAAGTATAGTAGTACCAACACTCGTATATGGGTGTGAAGCTTGGGTTGTGAATGCAGCAGCGAGGAGGCGGTTGGAGGCAGTGGAGATGTCCTGTCTAAGGGCAATGTGTGGTGTAAATATTATTCAGAAAATTTGGAGTGTGGAAATTAGGAAAAGGTGTGGAGTTAATAAAAGTATTAGTCAGACGGCTGAATAGGGGTTGTTGAGGTGGTTTGGTCATTTAGAGAAAATGGACCAAAGTAGAATGACATGGAAAGCATTTAAATCTGTAGGGGAAGGAAGGCGGGGTAGGAGTTGTCCTCGAAAAGGTTGGAAGGAAGGGGTAAGGGAGGTTTTGTGGGCGAGGAGCTTGAGCATGAGCGTGTTCGATAGGAGTGAATGGAGACGAATGGTATTTGGGACCTGACGATCTGTTGGAGTGTGAACAGGGTAATATTTAGTGAAGGGATTCAGGGAAACTGGTTATTTTTATATAGCCAGATTTGACTCCTGGAAATGGGAAGTACAATGCCTGCACTCTAAAGGAGGGGTTTCAGGATATTAGCAGTTTGGAGGGATATGTTGTGTATCTTTTTACGTACAGTGGACCCCCGCATAACGTTGGCATCGCATAGCGTTAAATCCGCATAGCGATACATTTTATCGCTAAAATTTTGCCTCGCACCCCGCTAAAAAATTCGGTCAACGCGATTCGTCCGAGACGCGTCCATGCGGCCTGAGCCAGCCTCACTTGTTCTGCCAGTGGCATTGTTTACAAGCCAGCCTCCGTGGTAACATTTAATCATACAATCAGAACATTTCGTATTATTACAGCCTTTTTATAGTGATTTCACCTGAAAAATAAGTGACCATGGGCCCCAAGAAAGCTTCTAGTGCCAACCCTACAGGAATAAGGGTGAGAATTACTATGGAGATAAAGAAAGAGATCATTGCTAAGTATGAAAGTGGAGTGCGTGTCTCCGAGCTGGCCAGGTTGTATAGTAAACCCCAATCAACCATCGCTACTGTTGTGTCCAAGAGAACGGCAATCAAGGAAGCTGTTCTTGCCAAAGGTTTAACTGTGCTTTCGAAACAGAGATCGCAAGTGATAGAAGATGTTGAGAGACTGTTATTGATGTGGGTAAACGAAAAACAGATACAGTGGACCCCCGGATAACGATATTTTTTCACTCCAGAAGTATGTTCAGGTGCCAGTACTGACCGAATTTGTTCCCATAAGGAATATTGTGAAGTAGATTAGTCCATTTCAGACCCCCAAACATACACGTACAAACGCACTTACATAAATACACTTACATAACTGGTCGCATTGGGAGGTGATCGTTAAGCGGGGGTCCACTGTATCAGGTGATAGCATCTCTCAAGCGATCATAAGTGAAAAGGCTAGGAAGTTGCACGAGGATTTAATTAGAAAAATGCCTGCAACTAGTGGTGATGTGAAAGAATTTAAGGCCAGCAAAGGTTGGTTTGAGAGATTTAAGAGGCATAGTGGCACACATAGTGTGATAAGGCATGGTGAGACTGCCAGTTCGGACCAAAAAGCAGCTGAAAAATATGTACAGGAATTCAAGGAGTACATAGACAGTGAAGGACTGAAACCTGAACAAGTGTTTTAATTTTGACGAAACAGGCCTGTTTTGGAAGAAAATGCCAAGCAGGACCTACATTACTGAGGAGGAAAAGGCACTCCCAGGACATAAACCTGTGAAAGACAGGCTTATTCTTCTCATGTGTGCCAATGCTAGGGGGTGATTGCAAAGTGAAGCCTTATAATGTGCATCACTCTGAAACTCCCAGAGCGTTCAGGCAAAAAGAAAATCCTCAAGGCTAATTTGTGTGTGCTGTGGAGGGCAAACAATAAGGCATGGGTTCCCCTAGGGAACTTTTTCTATGACTGGTTACACCCAAACATTTTCCCCACTGTGAAAAATTACCCAATGAAAAGAAATAGACCTTAAGTGCCTCCTGGTGTTAGCAGTGCCCCCGGTCATCCTACAGACTTGGCAGAGTGACTTTGTGGGGACATGAGCTTCATTAAGGTTGAAGTTTTTGCCTCCTAAACCACTCCTCTCCTGCAGCCCATGGACCAGCAGGGTTAAATTTCAAACTTCAAAAAACTGTACACAAAAGCTCTGTTTGAAAGGTGCTTTGTAGTGACCTCAGAAACTCAATTGACTCTAAGAGAGTTTTGGAGAGATCATTTAATCCTCAATTGTGTAAACCTTATAGGTAAGGCTTGGGAGGAGTGACTAAGAGGACCTTGAACTCTGCTTGGAAGAAACTGTGGCCAGAATGTGTAGACCAAAGGGATTTTGAAGGATTTGAGGCTAACCCTAAGAGGAGTATGCCAGTTGAGGAATCATTTGTGGCATTGGGGAAGTCCTTGGGGTTGGAGGTTAGTGGGGAGGATGTGGAAGAGTTGGTGGAGGAGGACAATGAAGAACTAACCACTGATGAGCTGCTAGATCAACTTCAGCAAGAGGCCACACCTGAGGAAATTGCTTCGGAGGGGAGAGAGAAATTGAAGAAGTTGCCTACTTCAAAGATTAAGGAAATGTGTGCAAAGTGGCTTGAAGTGCAAACCTTCATGGATGAAAATCACCCTCAGACAGCTATTGCAAGCCGTGCTGGTGACTATTGCATTGACACTGTTGTGAAACACTTTAGGAAAGCCATAAAGGAACAAGAGGTACAGGCCACTATGGACAGATATGTTGTGCGACAGAAGTCCAGTGATTCTGAAGCTGGTCCTAGTGGCATTAAAAGAAGAAGGGAAGCAACCCCAGAAAAGGACTTGACACCTCAAGTCCTAATGGAAGGGGATTCCCCTTCTAAACACTAAAACCATCCAGTCTCCCCTCCTCCCATCCCATCAATCATCACCACATCTTCAATAAAGGTAAGTATCATGTAACTGTGCATGTTTTCTTAAGTTTGTGTGTATTAAAATTAATATTTCATGTGGTAAAAAAATTTTTTTCATACTTTTGGGTGTCTTGCACGAATTAATTTGATTTCCATTATTTCTTATGGGGAAAATTAATACACATAACGATAATTTCACATAACATTGAGCTCTCAGGAACGGATTAATAGCGTTATGCGGGGGTCCACTGTATATGCTTCTAAACTGTTGTGTTCTGAGCACCTCTGCAAAAACAGTGATTATGTATGAGTGAGGTGAAAGTGTTGTATGATGATGAAAGTATTTTCTTTTTGTGTCCCCTGCCTCGGTGGGAGACGGCCGACTTGCTAAAAAAAAAAAAATATGTTGATCATGTCTTTGTGGACAGGTATGTGTTGATAGTGTCAGGACTGGAGCTCAGTTCATCAGTTGACAGCCTCTTGATTTTAGAACTGTTGGTGGATTATGTATCAGGCCACCTGGGACACTCAGAAGAGCAAGCAGCTGTGGCTCGGATCTCCAGAATGATCATTGCAGGTAATAGCAATGCTCATAGTGTTAATTACCTTTTACACTAATTTTTAATACTCCTAATCCCCTCATGTAAATTGAATCTTAACCCTTTGACTGTTTCAGGCCCCTTTCTGAAACTGTCATTCTATGTCGCTAAATTTTTGGAAAAAAAAAAAATTTCTTATGAAATGATAGAGAATCTTTTCCTGATGGTAATGACACCAAAAGTTCGAAATTTGGTTGAAAACTCGTGGAATTACTCTCCTGCGAAGTTAGCGGTCTCGGCGACATATGCGTATCGGCGATTTCGCCGACTTTGAGCCCTATTTTCAGCCAATTCCTTTGTTCCAGTTGACCAAACTCATAGCTATTTCTTTAGAACTCCATTTTATCTATCAGCTGAGTACAAGAAACCTCCCATTTACCAATTTGGACTACCCAATATTGTGGTCAGAAATTGGCAATTTGGCCAATTTCACGCAAACTAAAAAAGATGCCAATTTCAAAATAGGGTCCAGAATAAACAAGGTAGACATTCTTGGCACTAAAATAACATATCCCCTGTTCATTAGTCACGTCTCTAGGCCCCTCTTATATTATTATTGCTTTCTATTTTGATTTTTTATTCATACAAAAAAATACAAAATTTACTGTTATGCAGACTACTGCATTATTGTAAAAATGGTATAAATAATATCAGTGCACTAGTGAAACAATATTAGACTCCCCAGTTGATGTGTATTGGACATGTGGTGTGATTTGTTTACTCCTGAACATTGGTAAAAATCGACCATTTCCGCTACTTTGAGCTCAGTTTCAAGGTCGTTTTCATCGTCAAAGTAATGAAAATCATCTCTATTTCTGTAATATGTTTTCCATTTTATCACCTAAGACCATGAAAACGCAAATACATCAATAAATACTATACGAAAATACACCTCAAAGTCGGCATTTTAATTCCAAAAAATGATTAGTTTTTTTTTCTCATTATGCACTGTGTGCTGCAGGATTTTTTTTATGTGGTGCACACTGACCACACAGACCCATTCTCTCACATGTGGGCCTACCAGCTTTCTTCCTCTTGATTTGAAGCCGCTAGAATTATTGAGTATATATACGTCTGAAACACTGGCTCGTAAGACGTATATATATGACCAAAACAGTCAAAGGGTTAAGCAATAGGTAGTACATCAGTAGACATTTGTCACCCATGGAGGTACTACCATTCTGCCTTACAAGTGTGGCTCACGAAATTGTAATGACACAATTGCAAATAAACCATACTATGGGCAGGGCTTAAACCCGCAGTAGAGAGTCGTAAAACTCCAGACTGACACGTTAGCCACTGGGCCAGCTGGCTACAATAAGATTCGTCCAACTAGGTATATTTATACACCTTAGGAAGGTTAGCATTGGCACCACTGTGACTACAGCTTTTACAGATGAGTCTCCTGCCAGTATGGCCGTGATGAACTCTAGCTCAAGTCCCCTCAAAGCTGTCTTCATGACTCATGAAATTGTAACGACACAATTGCAAACAAGCTATATCGCAGGCTTTAGCTAGAGTTCATCACGGCCATGCTGGCAGGAGATTCGTTTGTAAAAACTTGCATTTCTGGTCACAGTGGTGCTTATGCTAACCTTCCTATGGTGTATAAATATATGTACCTAGTTGGATGAATCCTATTGTAGCCAGCTGACCCAGTGGCTAACTCGTTGGTCTGGAGTTTTATGACTCTACCGCAGGTTCGAGCTCCACCCTTGGTATGGTTTACAAGTGTGATTTGGAAACTGGTTAAAGTTTTACCCCATTTAACCCCTTCTCCGTCTGTGCCATAATTTTATGGGTTTGAAGTCTCTCTGTGCCATAGAATTACGTGATGCACTCATCTCGCTCTAATATGCAATGAGTGGTGAACTTTGGCCTAGATATGAGAGAATGGGTCTATGTGGTAAATGTGCACCAAATAAAAAAAATCCTGCCCCACGCAGTGCATAATGGGAGGAAAAACTGCAACTACTTGTTTGGTTTAAAATAGCAACTTTGTGGTGTATTTTTGGATGGTTTTTACGGTTGTGTATATGGACTTCAGTAAGGCTTTCGAGAGTTCCACATCAGACGCTGTTGAGGAAACTTAAAGCACACGGAATAGAAGGAGAAATTTTTACCTGGGTAGAAGCATGATTGACAAATAGGCAGCAAAAAGTTTGCATAAATGGGGAGAAATCAGAATGGGGGCACGTCACAAGTAGGGTTCTACAGGGCTCAGGGTTGGGCCCATTGTTGTTCACAATTTACATAAACGACATAGATAAGGGAATAAATAGCGATGTAAGCAAATTTGGTGATGGCACCAAAATAGGCCACCAATTTCATTCTAATGAGGACATTAGAGCACTCCAGGATGATTTGAATAGACTGATGCAATGAAGTTTAACCCCTTGACTGTCGCATCCCCAAATCCTGAGGTGTCTCCTGGTGTCACAAAATTTCCAAAAAAAAAAAAAATTATTTTTTCTTATGAAATGATAGAGAATCTTTTCCCGATTGTAATGACACCAAAAGAACGAAATTTGATGGAAAGCTGACGGAATTATGCTCTCGTGAAGTTAACAGCCTTGGTGATATTTACGAATCGGCTATTTCACCTACTTTGAGCCCTATTTTTGGCTAATTCCATTGTTCCAGTCGACCAAACTCATATCTATTTCTTTAGAACTCCATTTTTTCTATCGATCGAGTACAAGAAACTGCCCATTTACCGATTTCAACTACCCAATAACGTGGTCAGAAATTTGCAATTTGGCCAATTTTACGAAAATTAAAAAATATGACAGTTTCAAAACAGGGTCCAGAATGAACAATGCAGACATTCCTGGCTCTAAAATAACATTTTCTATGTTCATCAGTCACTTCTCCAAGCCTCTCTGATATTACTCTTGCTTTCTATTCTGAATTTTTATTCAAACAAAAAATAAAAGATTTACTGTTATGCAGATTACTACAATATTGTAATAATTGTATAAATGATGTCAATCCATTCATGACTGCATATTAGAATTGCTACTTGGACATTTATTGGAAAATGACATCATTTGTTTACTTTTGAACATTGGCAAAAATCAAACATTTCCCCTAATTTGAGCTCCATTTCAAGGCTCTTTTCATAGTAAAACCAATCAAAATCACTACTATTTCTATAATATGTTTTCCATTCTATTAAATGAGACCAAGAAAACAAGAATACAGCCATAAATACTATACGAAAATAGACCACAAAGTTGGCATTTTAATTAAAAAAAACGGTTAGAGTTTTTTTTTTCTCATTATGCACTGCGTGCTGCAGGATTTTTTTTATATGGTGCACACTGACCACACAGACCCATTCTCTCACATGTGGGCCCACCAGCTTTCTCCTGCTTGATTTGAAGCCGCTAGAATTTATGAGAATATATACGTCAAAAACAGTGGCTCGTAAGATGTATATATAAGACCAAAACAGTCAGAGGGTTAATATAGATAAATGCAAAGTTCTAAATGTTGGACAGGAAAATAACCATGCCACATATAAACTAAATAATGTAGATCCTAATACTACTGATTACAAAAAGGATTTAGAAGTTGTGGTTAGCAGTAATCTAAAACCAAGACAACAGTGCATTAGTGTTTGCAATAAAGCTAGCAGAATCCTTGGCTTCATATCAAGAAGTATAAAAAATAGGAGTCCTCAGGTTGTTCTTCAACTCTATATATCCTTGGTTAGGCCTCATTTAGATTATGCTGCACAGTTCTGGTCACCGTATTACAGAATGGATATAAATGCACTGGAAAACGTACAGAGGAGGATGACAAAGATGATCCCATGTATCAGAAATCTTCCCTATAAGGATAGACTGAGGGCCTTGAATCTGCACTCTAGAAAGGCGTAGAGCTAGGGAAGGGATATGATTGAGGTGTATAAAAGGAAAACAGGAATAAATAAAGGGGATGTAAATAGCATGCTGAAAATTTTCTCCCAAGACAGGACTCGCAGTAATGATTTCAAATTGGAAAAAATTCAGATTCAGGAAGGATATAGGAAAGCACTGGTTTGGTAATAGAGTTGTGGATGAGTGGAACAAACTCCCAAATATCGTCATAGAAGTGAGAACGTTATGTAGTTTTAAACATAGGTTAGATAAATACATGAGTGGGTGTGGGTGGGTGGGTGTGAGTTGGACTTGACTAGCTTGTGCTACTAGGTCTGATGCTGTGCTCCTTCCTTAAGTGGGAGTGACCTGACTAGGTGGCTTATTGGTCTAAGCCAGGGGGTGACATGGACCTGGTTTGCATGGGTCAGTAGGCCTGATGCAATGTTCCTTCTTTCTTATGTTCTTATGTTACTTGGTATCATTTGATAAAATAGAAGATATGTTACAGAAATAGAGATGAATTTGATTGGTTTCAGGACTGGAAGTAGCTTGAAATTGAGCCAAAGTAGCGGAAATATTCGTTTTTTGCTGATACTCCAGAGTATACAAATTACATCACTTATCCAGTACATGTCCAACTGGTCAGTTTAATATGCATTCACAAATGTCCTAACATTATTTATACAATTATTACAATAATGTGTAAGAGTAAATCAATTTTTTTGTGTATGAATAAAAATTCAAAATAGAATTCAGGTGTAAAACCTGGGAATATAACTAAGAAAAGAGGAAATGTTATTTTAGTGCCAGGAATGCCTGCCTTGTTTATTCTGGACCCTATTTTGAAATTTGTGTGAAATTATTGAAATTACCAATTTCTGATTACTCTTTTGGGTAATTGAAATAGTTGATTGGATGGTTTCTTGCTCAACTGATAAAATGGAAGCCATACTAGCAAAATAGCTAAGAATTTGTTCAACTGAAACAGTGTAATTGGCTTAATATAGGACTCAGAGTAGACAAAAATCACTGATGCGTTAATATCACTGACAGCAAATTTTGCAAAAGTGTAATTTCACAAGTTTTCCATCAAATTTTGTACTTCTTGTTTTATTACCTTCAGAAAAAGATTCTCTACTAATTCATAATTTTTTTTTTTTAATTTTTGGACACTGTGGACACTATTTGGATCAGGGGGTCTGGACTTTTAAAGTGTTAAAAATGCACTAAGTTCACAGGTCATCCTTGGTATTTCAATCATAAAAAAAAATATTGCTAGACCCTTGCTTCCAGCATTTTAGTTGCTTCTTATATCACGCATGACTTACAGAGGAAGGATTCTTGTCCACTTCCCCATATAGATCTAGTATATATTCTGTTCCATAAATATGTACAATGACTACTGTCTGCTGCTTTCCCATAAATTTAATTTGAACTTGTAAATGCTTATCATCTGTTTTCTGAAAGGCAATTTCTCTCTGGGTTTTTTAATTCTTGAATCACGTTTGTATTTATTTACACTGCAGTATACTGTATGAGGTGGATTTTGTGTTTTTCTTATTCAGATTCTACACCATACTATATATGAATACTCAATTTGTGTTATATATTTGTTGTTAGTTTTTCTCTGTATATTATATCTTAGAATTGTGTGAAAGTTTTGTGTAAAATAAGCAAGGAACTTAGTAGCGATGGGATGATATCAAAATTTTTGCTGATACCAATACTCAGTTTTAGACTAATACCAATGCCAATACCATAAATATTAGCCAATAACCACTGATACCATCAAAATTAGCCAATAACCACTGATTCCATCAAAATTAACCAATAACCACTGATATCATCAGAATTAGCCAATAACCATTGATACCATTAAAATTTACCAGTGACCACTGATACCATCAGAATTAGTTGATACTCACTGATAGTGATACCAATATTCAACATTAGATCGATACCAATACTGGTACCATCAAAATCAGCTGATACCAATACTTAGGCGCATCCTAGAACTTATGATGCTAATTTAATAGTAAGACAAAGTATGTGTGGAAAAGAAAGAGGGCGCTCATTCCACAAGTAGGAATACTAAATATACAACATTGTGAAATATTTTGAAAGGTGTAGAGTTATATATTTTTAGAAGTTCTTATATTTAAAAATTTTACCCATCCAAACTTTAATTCTATTTCCAAAACATCAGCATGTATACTTTACCATAATTGGCAGTATATGTAAATGAATTATTTTGATGTTTCAGGTAACTCAGTAAGTAGTACCAAAGGAGAGAAGGATAAGCCAGATAAAGTCAAGCTTGTGAAGGAGCTGGATGATATCCTCACACAGATTGCGGTAGGTTTTACCACAGAGAGAAGGCATTTGTTGAGCTCAGTGTAATTTAATACTTTTTTCTTTTACTTTTTTTAGTTGTATCAATTTTGATTTTCTCCATGGGGAAATGGAGAAAAATCCTTCCTCCGTAAGCCATGCGTGTCATAAGAGGTGACTAAAATGCCAGGAGCAAGGGGCTAGTAACCCCCCCTTCTCCTGTATAAATTACTAAATTTGTAAAGAAGAAAAGGCCTTCATTTCTTCTTTTTTTGGGGTCACCTTGCCTCGGTGGGAACAGCCGATGTGTTAAAATCATTTCTGATTTCTAGCCATCGTGTTAAATTGTAATTGGCACCAGTGTCTTGCATTAAAGCATTAACATTGAATAATATTTCCTTATTAAACATCTGTACAGTGAAATATTTTGTGTAATAAATGTTATTAGGGAGTCATGCAGCTCCAGGAGTGTTGGAGGCTTGATGATGCATTGTCTGAATGTGAGACAATCATGTTCCCTACTTGTACTGAACTATATTAGTATAATTAAGTAGTATGTTTGTTTCACATATACCACACTGAGTATGTATATGTAACTAGATAGCACGTCTGTCTTGTATAGAGCAGACAGTTTGAGTATACATTACTAGGCAGCATGTCTGTCTCATATGTAGCAGACAGTGTGAGTGTCTTTAACCAAGTAGCACCTCTCTCTTACATTTATCAGACAGAAGATTGAACTACCTCCACTCTGCAGGCTTGATTACCTAGATGGTTGTAGTTCTTCACACAAACATGTAACCTTTGATGGCCAAGTGTTATTGTCAGCTCTTCTCTATGAACAGAGTGTCTGCCCTGTGGATGTCATGCCGGGAGAATTTGACCCAGCAAACCATGTGATGCCCCAACAACCTCTTCACCGCTGTATGTTTCCAAAGGTGCAAAATAGTGTTTTTTTGTTTACAGCCCTACTTTCTGTTTCAGTGTATTTTGTTGTAGTTTAACTCAGGAAACATTGTTCTTATCAGTATACAGATTTTTTTGATGGTACAACACACCCATGAAGAGAAAATTAAGCAGCAGATTAGATGAGTGTTTATTTTAACCTCACATTGAGGTCCTCTTCAGTAGATTTGAGAGCTCAAAATACACAGTATTCATCTTGCCTTCTGTTTTATTATCTCTATGTGGGGTTGTTTGTGTCTACATGGAGAATGTTCTGAGGGTCAGTGCTCATGTGTCCAGGACTCGAGGTGGATTCCCTGATGAACCAGGCTGTTGGTGCTAGTCATGTGAAGTCCAATGCATGCACCACAGTCTGCTGATCAGAATCTCTTTAGAAACTTGTCCAGTTCTCTCTTTGAAGACAGCCAGGAGTCTGTTGTTAATCATTGACAAGTAAAACAGTGAACTAACCATACCACGGGCGGGGATAGAACCCGTGATCATTGAGTCTCAAAACTCCAGACCGTCGCGTTAGCCACTGGACCAGCTAGCCACAATAAGATTCGTCCAACTAGGTATATTTCTACACCATGGGAAGGTTAGCATAGGCACCACTGTGACCACAAATGCAAGTTTTTACAGACGAATCTCCAGCTAGCGTGGCCGTGATGAACTCTAGCTCAAGTCTTGAGTTTGGAGACTCTCTGATCGTGGGTTCTATCCCCACCTGTGGTATGGTTTGTTTGCAATTGTGTCATTACGATTTGTGAGTCAAAACAGTGAACTTATTTTCTTGGTTTAAACTTGTCAGTAATGTACAAGTATCTCAGATGCCTTGTGAATACTAGTTAGATTAGATTAGCTTTAAATGCAGTCATTAAATTTTGCTCTCCCTTAACATATAAATATTTTCACTTTTTTAGAGAGAGCAATTTTATGGTATGTTACTGAGCGTGATAGTCCACACATTTTGCACTAAAAATAAGGATCACGTGTTAGAAAAGTTAGGAGGAAGCAGAGTAGCTGGTTAAGGCATTATTTTTTTTTTATGCTACTGTTACTCACCAAGGCAGGGAGACTCAGTGAAGGAAAGGAACCTGCCTTGGTGAGAAATGGCTTACGTATTACATAGATTATTGACCAGCAATAATCTATGTCCTTGCTTCATCTAACAAGACTTTTTGTGAAAAATTATTTTATTTACATTTTATATAACTTTTCAGGCTGCGGTATATACCTCAATGCAAAGTGTAACAAATCCATACGAGTGTGAGATTGGTGGTCGGGCATTTATTGGAATGTCAGGACAGAACGTAAAAGATATTAGTCGGTGTTCAACAATTGAGGATCCTCTCGACGTAATGGAGCGACTCTGTGACTGGGGTCATCTGGCTCCCTCAGCTCCAGACACACTTAGTAAGTTTGGTGAGAATTTGTCAGTGTTAATTTTCTGTGCACTTTTTCTCATTGTTATAGTTCTCCATGGCAAAACTTACCCGTGTACTGCATTTCACCATATACTAACTGGCCATCTTAAGGCCAGCCAGTATTCATCATGAGAACTCAGTTTGGCCACTCTAATATATACTAACATTTCATGACTGATTGCCAGAAATCATGGAATATGATACTATGCTTTGCATCATTGTATTGTAGTGTGTCTTGATCCATCATGGGCGGGTCAAGACATACTTGTGCTGTCTGGGAGGTCAGAGGATCGAGCCTCCAGCATTACACATGTACATTTTGTACTGTATTATATAATGGTCTGATGAAACACACAAAAGTTTAATTGAACACTTATGTCAATAACTGTAATTTGTATTAATTGTGTAGACCTGATATCCAAAATCTCACAACTTTCTGTAAATAGTATAATAAGGACTTGGATAATGTGATTTCGGCTTCAGTATTTCATACACAAACCCACTCGTAACTTACAAATACACAAGTTACACACATCCTTACTTAAAAACACAGTGCTTGGCAACTAGTTAAAGTTTAATGGCCACCTAGTCACAGTACAAACGTGTATATGGAACATAACTATTCTATGTACTATTGTTTTTTTTTTTTTGTTTTTTTTTCCAACAAGTCGGCCGTCTCCCACCGAGGCAGGGTGACCCAAAAAAAGAAAGAAAATACTTTCATTATCATTCAACACTTTCACCACACTCGCACATTATCACTGCTTTTGCAGAGGTGCTCATAATACAACAGTCTAGAAGCATACACATATAAAGATACACAACATATCCCTCCAAACTGCCAATATCCCAAACCCCTCCTTTAAAGTGCAGGCATTGTACTTCCCATTTCCAGGACTCAAGTCCGACTATATGAAAATAACCGGTTTCCCTGAATCCCTTCACTAAATATTACCCTGCTCACACTCCAACAGATCGTCAGGTCCCAAATACCATTCGTCTCCATTCACTCCTATCTAACACGCTCACGCACGCTGGAAGTCCAAGCCCCTTGCCCACAAAACCTCCTTTACCCCCTCTCTCCAACCCTTTCGAGGACGACCCCTACCCCGCCTTCCTTCCCCTATAGATTTATATGCTTTCCATGTCATTCTACTTTGATCCATTCTCTCTAAATGACCAAATCACCTCAACAACCCCTCTTCTGCCCTCTGACTAATACTTTTATTAACTCCACACCTTCTCCTAATTTCCACACTCTGAATTTTCTGCATAATATTTACACTACACATTGCCCTTAAACAGGACATCTCCACTGCCTCCAACCGTCTCCTCGCTGCTGCATTTACCACCCAAGCTTCACACCCATATAAGAGTGTTGGTACTACTATACTGTTTTTTTTATATATAATTATTTGTTTGAAAATTGAAAAACCTGCAACTCAACTAGTTTGTTAGTTTTATACCTTCTATATTTGCCTTGCATAGTATTTGTGTATTTAGTGGTACAGTATAATGATATAGCAAAGAACCTTTTGCTTATACGATGTTTCACTATTAGGGGCTTTATCAGCATAAGATAAAGTCAGCAGTATATGAGCACTGAGTGATAGTACTGTGTGCCTTTTTGTTTTTTTCTTAAACTCTGACCATTTCCCACTGTAACATGACCCCAAAAAGAGGAAACACATTCACCATCATTCATTCAATCACTGTTTTGCCAGAAGTGCACTGACATCACATTTTGGGTGACTCCAAGCTGCAACATCTTCGCTGCTCCTTTAGAGCGCAAGCACTGTACTCTTGTATTATGTGCTGTTGACTTTTTTATCTTTCTTAAGAACATAAGAAAGGAGGAACACTGCAGCAGGCCTGTTGGCCTATACTAGGCAGGTCCTTTACAATCCATCCCACTAACAAAACATTTGCCCAACCCAATTTTCAATGCTACCCAAGAAATAAGGTCTGGTAACTCTATCCACTCATTTGCAAGTCCCACTCAAATCCAACCTCTCTCACTCATATATTTCTTCAACCTAAATTTGAAACTATCCAAAGTCCTAGCCTCAGTAACCCAACTAGGTAGACTGTTCCACTCATCAACTACCCTATTTCCAAACCAATACTTTCCTATGTCCTTTCTAAACCTAAACTTGTCTAATTTAAATCCATTACTGCGGGTTCTCTCTTGGAGAGATATCCTCAAGACCTTATTAATATCCCCTTTATTAATACCCATCTTCCACTTATACACTTCTGTCATGTCTCCCCTCATTCTTCGTCTAACAAGTGAATGTAATTTAAGAGTCTTCAATCTTTCTTCATAAAGAAGATTTCTAATGCTATGTATTAATTTAGTCATTCTACGCTGAATGTTTTCTAACGAATTTATGTCCATTCTGTAATATGGAGACCAGAACTGAGCTGCATAATCTAGGTGAGGCCTTGCTAATGATGTATAAAGCTGCAGTATAACCTCTGGACTTCTGTTGCTTACACTTCTTGATGTAAATCCCAATAATCTATTTGCCTTATTATGTACACTTAGGCATTGCTGTCTTGGTTTAAGGTTGCTGCTCACCATAACCCCCAAGTCCTTTTTGCAATCTGTATGGCTAGGTTCTACATTATTTAACTTATAAGTGCTAGGGTTATGGACACTCCCGAGCTTCAGACCCTTGCATTTATCTACATTGAACTGCATCTGCCACTTTTCTGACCAAGAATAGAGTTTATCTAAATCCTCCTGAAGTTCCCTAACATCCACGTTTGAATCAATCATCCTACCTATCTCTGTCATCAGCGAATTTGCTCATATCACTAGTAATACCCTCATCAAGGTCATTGATATATATTATAAACAACAACGGGCCTAAGACTGATCCCTGTGGTATGCCACTTGTTACAGATCCCCACTCAGATTTAACCCCATTTAAGCATGCTCTCTGCTTCCTATTAGTGAGCCATGACTCGATCTGTGAGAGCACTTTTCCCCCAATGCCATGAGCTGCCACTTTTTTTAACAATCTCTGGTGCGGTACTCTATCTTTGATAAACAATATCGAATTCTTTACCATGATCAACGGCCTCAAAAGCTTTACTGAAGAAGGTTAATAAATTAGTTAGGCAGGAGCGGCCTCTCATGAATCCATGCTGAGTATCATTAATCAAGCTGTGCTTATCGAGATGGCTTCTTATATTATCAGCTATAATTGACTAGTAATTTGCCTACAATTGAGGTTAGGCTTATTGGGCGGTAATTTGACGGTAACGACTTGTCCCCTGCTTTGAAAATAGGAATTACATTAGTTATCTTCCACATATCAGACACCACCTGTTTGAAGAGAAATATTAAAAATATTAGTCACTGGTTCACAAAGTTCCATTTTACACTCTTTAAGAACCCTTGAAAAAAGTTCATCAGGGCCCGGGGATTTATTTTGCTTTAACTGGTCTATCTGTTTGATAACCAATTCAATAGTGACTGTGATATTGCATAATTTATCATCATCAGGCCCACTATAAAAATTAATTACTGGGATATTGTTAGTGTCTTCCTGAGTGAAAACCGAGAGAAAATAATTATTAAGAATAGAGCACATTTCATTCTCCCTGTCAGTGAGATGCCCAGAGTTATTTTTAAGGGGACCTATCTTATCTCTAACTTTTGTTCTATAAACCTGGAAAAAACTTTTTAGGTTTGTTTTCGAATCCCTAGCAACTTTAATTTCATAGTCCCGTTTAGCTTTTCTTATCCCCTTTTTAACGTCCCTCTTATTGTCAATATACCAATTCATAAGGTGACCCTCACCTCTTTTGATACGCCTATAAATTCCTTTTTTCTGTCGTAAAAGATATCTGAGCCTATTATTCATCCATTTGGGGTCATTTCTATTCAATCTAATTTCCTTATATGGGATAAATGTCCTTTGGGCAGCATGTATTGTGTTAAGAAAGGTGTCATACTGATAGCTCTCTTCGTTACCCCAGTCCACAGATGATAAGTGTTCCCTAAGCCCATTGTAATCTGCTAAGCAAAAATCTGAGACCAGTACTGAATTATCCCTACTATCATACTTCCATTCAATGCTAAAGTTAATTGATTTGTGAACGCTTGTGCCGAGTTCCTCTGTAATTTCTAAATTATCAACAAGGGTTTCCTTGTTTGCCAAAACCAAGTCAAGCAGGTTATTTCACCTTGTAGGCTCTTGTCACAAACTGCTTCAAAAAACACTCCTAAACTACTTCTAAGAAGTCGTTTGATTCTAAATTCCCAGTCAAGAAATTCCAATCAGTATGACTAAAGTTGAAGTCTCCTAGAATTACTACGTTATAGTGTCTTGTGGCCTTAACAATTTCCTCCCATAGTAGTCTCCCTTGGTCCCTATCTAAGTTTGGGGGACGGTATATCACACCTAAAATCAATTTTTCATGTCCCTCTGAAAATTCTATCCAAACAGACTCTATATGTGTTACTTCAGACTTAATACCCATTTTTATGCAACAGTTCAAGCGATCTCGGACATACAGTGCTACCCCACCCCCCTTCCTGATACTTCTGTCTACCTGGAACAATTTAAAACCCTGTATGTGACATTCAGCAGGCATGTCCCGATTTTTCGTATTGAACCACGTCTCAGTTAAGGCAAATACATCAATGTTACCTGCACTAGCACTAGTCTCAACTTGTCCATCTTATTCCTAGCACTACGACTATTTGTGTAATATATATTTAAGGACCCTCCTTTCTCTTTACCCTTCCTGCTCCTTTCTGTTATTCCAATAAATCTATTACTGTCTTTGTCACCCAGTGCCACTGGCTTTCCAATATCCACCTCATTTTGCCTATTACTAGTTCTCCTAGTACTCATATTACTACACTGGGACTTCACTGTTTTACTGCCAAAACCCATACCACTAACTTTTCCTAGTTTAAAGACCTAACAGCTCCCACCACTGCGTTGGCCAGTGCTCCCACCCCACACGTAG